AGAGTGAACTAAAAAAAAAAAAAAGAAAGAAAGAAAGAAAAAAATCAAAGCTGCACATATTGGATCCAGATGTGCTTACAGCCCTTTCCAGCAATTTAATTAAATTCCCCCAGACAGCCAGGAGGATTTCTTAATGATCAAATTTCCCTGGCTTTCCTCCTAAAATGCCCCTCTTTCGGCGGCTGGCTGTTGCTCTGTCTCCCTGATGGATAGCCAACTCGCATTCTTCCTAGTCCGCCCCGCCAAGGCGATGGGGAGGAAGGGGGCAGATCCCGACGCTGTTATTTTAGCCGGGCACTCGAACGCCCCGTCCGACCGCGCTAGCGATGCCCCTATTTTCAAAATGGATTTTTTTGCCCAAGAAATGTGGGGATGGGGAGTCACCTCCCTGGAGGCCGTGGCTCATGGCATGGTCACGGCAGGGCCATGGCAGGGATGCTCCGGGGAAGAGCTCCTGTGTGCCTGGCCCCCCCGCTGGCCTCACTGTGCTGATGGCGAGGGAAGGGTTTCAGCCCTTGGGTCTCTGGGCTTGATACCTCCCAGGGCTGGTTTTGAGCTGGGTTTGGCTCCACGCTGCACCCCCAAAGCCTTCTTTCCAGCCCGGGGGGTTATTGGGGTGGGGGCAAAGCCTCTGCAGGGCTCGTGGGGGCACGGCTGGGCTGGTGGGACCCTTTGGGGCAGCTTGGGGTCCCCTCTCATCCCCACAGCCAACACGGCTGGGGTCAGAGGTGGCAAAGGGGTGACCCACGCTCACCAGCCCTCCTTCCCCCGCCAACGGTGGGGAACGCAGGGGGGATTTCCCTCCAGAATGGTGTCTAATGGAGGGCTGGACCTTGCACGGTCCCCACCAGTGCCACGCAGCTGGGGACAGTGACTGTGCCTGGTGCTGCCACCCCGACTGCAGAGGGTCCAGGGTTTTACTGGACCATGGAGGGTTTGGGCTTTACTCAGACCAGGAGGGTCCAGGGTTTATCCAGCCGCTGGCAGCAGCAAGGGGGCACTCGAGACTGGATCGAGGGTCTCAGCTGCCCGGCCCACCCGACGTGGGGTCCCCCCAGCCGGGCTGCGCTGGTCTGAAGCTGAATCATACGGGCATAAAGCATCCTCCATGCGGAGGGAGAAATCCTCGCTCCCCGTTACTCCTCCTGCTGCTTTTCCCCTCCGGTCCCTGCCCAGGGCGTTTGAACCGGGTTATTTCCACCCCCACTCAGGACGGCATGGGGATGATGCCCCCCAAACCCCACCCACGGGGGCTGCTGGGTTGCAAGGGGGGGGTCCACACCAGCTGCCCAGCGAGGTGCCACCGCATGGCACCAATTCCCCGTGGCACCAGAGCCAGCAGCCGCTCTGCAAAGGGCTTGGGACCCCCTGCCCTGCCACAAAGGTGGGCTTGGGGCCAGGGGGCTGCAGGCACCGGGGTCCCCCCACCCTGACACCCCACTTTGTGTGGGGAAGGGAAGGGTGGGAAACAGGGGGGAAGCGTGACGGCATGTCAGAAAAATGCCCAACTGGCGTGGCCGCCTCGCCCCCTCTGCCCCCGGGACATGGGTGTTTTTTTTGAAACCGTGAAGCGCTCCACCAGAATAAAATAAATACGTAAATAGGAAACCCAAGGCGGCTTCAGTTATTGCCGGCTCTCCGGAGCTCCTGCGTCTGGAAATTCCACCAGAATAATAATAAAAATAATGATGATGATAATAATACCAATAAATCTTGGGCTAACACT